CCCTATTCCCAATTCCTTCGCCTCCGCCGCATCTGCTCCCAGGATGAGGCATTCCACTCCCGTACATCTCAGTTGTCCTCGTTTTTCAAGGACCGTAACTTCCCCTCCTCGGTGGTCGAGAACGCCCTCAACCGTGTCTCCCACATCTCCCGCACCTCATCCCTCACACCCCGTCCACGCAATAAAAACCAAAAAAGAATCCCCCTCGTCCTCACGTACCACCCCACCAACCTCCGGATCCAACGCATCATCCTCCGACACTTCCGCCATCTGCAATCCGACCCCACCACCAAAGACATCTTTCCCTCCCCACCTTTATCTGCTTTCCGGAGGGACAACTCTCTCCGTGACTCCCTTGTCCGCTCCACACTCCCCTCCAGCTCCACCACACCCGGCACTTTTCCCTGCAACCGCAGGAAGTGCTACACCTGCCCCCATACCTCCTCCCTCACCCCCATCCCAGGCCCCAAGAAGACTTTCCACATCAAGCAGATGTTCACCTGCACATCTGCCAATGTGGTATACTGCATCCGCTGTACCCGGTGTGGCTTCCTCTACATCGGGGAAACCAAGCGGAGACTCGGGGACCGCTTTGCAGAACACCTACGCTCGGTTCGCAACAAACAACTGCACCTCCCAGTCGCGAACCATTTCAACTCCCCCTCCCATTCCTCAGACGACATGTCCATCCTGGGCCTCCTGCAGTGCCACAACGATGCCACCCGAAGGTTGCAGGAACAGCAACTCATATTCCGCTTGGGAACCCTGCAGCCCAATGGTATCAATGTGGATTTCACAAGTTTCAAAATCTCCCCTCCCCCCACCGCATCCCAAAACCAGTCCAGCTCGTCCCTGCCTCCCTAACCTGTTCTTCCTCCCACCTATCCCCTCCTCCCACCTCAAGCTGCACCTCCATCTCCTACCGACCAACCTCATCCCGCCCCCTTGACCTGTCCGTCCTCCCTGGACTGACCTATCCCCTTCCTAACTCCCTACCTACACTCACCTTTCCTGGCCCCATCCCCGCCTCTTCGACCTGTTTGTTTCCTCTCCACCTATCCTCTCCTCTATCCCTCTTCTATCCGCCTCCCACTCTCTCCCTGTTTATTTCAAAACCCCCTTCCCCTCCCCCTTTTCTGATGAAGGGTCTAGGCCCGAAACGTCAGCCTCTCTGCTCCTATGATGCTGCTTGGCCTGCTGTGTTCATCCAGCCCTGCACCTTGCTCTACAAAATGGTCTGTCGGTCTACACTTGGGTCTCACCGATGTAGAAGAGGCCAAATCGGGAGCAGCGGATGCAGCAGACCAAGTTGACGGATGCGCAGGTGAACTCCTGTCTAATGTGGAAGGTTTGTTTTGTGCCTTGAATGGAGGTGAGGAGGGGGGTGTAGGGGCAGGGATAGAACTTCCTGCGATTGCAGGGAAAGGTGCCAGGGCTGGTGGGGTTAGTGGGGAGTGTGGAGCGGACAAGGCAGTCGCGATGAGAGCGGTTCCTACAAAAGGCAGACAGGGCTGGGGAGGGAAATATCTCTTTGGCTGTGGGGTCGGATTGTAGGTGGCAGAATTGGCGGAGAATGATACATTGGATGCGGAGGTTGGTGAGTTGATATGTGAGGACAAGGGTGTTTCCGTCTTTATTTTTGTTGGGGAGAGGGATGTGAGGGCAGAAGTGCGGAAAACGCAACAGGTGCGGGTGAGGGTATTTTCGATCACCGGGGCAGGGGGTAGTTACGGTCCTTGAAATAGGAGGACATCTGGGATGTGCGGGAGTGGAATACCCCATCTTGTGAGCAGATGCAGCGGAGTTGGAGGAATTGGGAGTAGGGAATTGCAATCTTGCAGGAAGGTGGGTGAGAGGAGGTGTAGTCCAGCTAGCAGTGGTAGTCAATGGGCTTGAAGTAGATGTCAGTTTCGAGGCGGTCACCAGAGATGGAGACAGAGAGGTCTAGGAAGGAGATGGAGGTTCCCTTACTTTATTCATGAACTGGATTAGGGCATCACTGGATAGGCAGCATTTATTGCCCATCCCTAATTGCCCAGAGGGCAGTTCAGAGTCAACCACATTGCTGTGGGTCTGGAGTCACATGTAGGCCAGACCAGAAAAGGATGGCAGTTTCCTTCCCTCAAGGACATAAGTGAACCAGATGGGTTTTTCCGATAATAGGCAGTGGATTCATAGTCATCATTAGGCTCTTAATTCCAGATATTTTATTGAATTCAAATTCCACCATCTGCCATTGCAGGATTTGAACCCAGGTCCCTAGAATGTTTTCTGGGTCTCTGGATTAACAGTCCAGCGATAATACCACGAGGCCATCACCTTTCCCTGAGGTTGGGTGAAAGTTGTTAGTAAAGTTGATGAAATGTTCAAGCTCCTTGTGGGAGCACGAGGCAGCGCCGATACAATCATCAGTGTAGCAGAGGAAGAGGTGGGGGATAGTGCCAGTGTAACAGAGGAAGAGGGACAGTTCCACATACCCTATGAAGAGGCCGACGTAGCTTAGGCCCATGCGGGTTAGGGTAGGATTCTGCAGCTGCAGTACGTGGGAACTCAAGAGCTCAAGGATACAATTGTGATCCAGGACAATAATATCTATAGTAAGTGGTTATGTTCGAACAGCTTCATTTTGTGAGCTGGAGGCTAAAATACAGACACTGCAGTACATCAGGGAGGTTGAATGTTATCAAGATTCTTTTTGCCAGAAGGCAGTCACACCTGCTGAGATAGGATATTCTGATGCAGTCAATGATCAGGGACAGTGGGTGTGACTGCAAGTGAGACAGGTATGGGGACACAGAGGACAGGAATGCAGGAGTGTCAGCCGCTGTAACTGTCCAGAAGGTTTGAGATTCTCTTAGCTTGCTTGGATGAGTTAAATAACCATGGCACTATGGTGCAGGAAGCCATTCAGGAAGCTGGAGAAGCTAAAAGGAATATAGTGATTGTAAGGGATAGCATAGTCCGAGGGATTGACATTGTTCTTTACAGCAAAGAATGTGAGTCCAGACTCACAAATGTGTTGTCAGCCAATATGAGAAGCAAGTCACCAAATTAAGAAATAGAACATCAAATGTAATAATGTCTGGATTATTACCACAGCCATGTGCAAATTGGCATCAGGTAAACAAGGTGAGAGAGATGAATCAGAGATAGTAGGAACTGCAGATGCTGGAGAATACGAGACAACAAGGTGCAGAGCTGGATGAACACAGCAGGCCAAGCAGCATCATAGGAGCATGATGCTGCGTGGCCTGCTGTGTTCATCTAGCTCTGCACCTTGTTGTCTCTGAGAGAGATGAATGCATGGCTGAAAAACTGGTGTGGGAGAGTTGAGTTTTGGTTCATTGGCCATTAGCACCAATATAAAGTACAATCTGTACCATTGAGATGGTCTACACCTGGGACACAATGTTCTTGCAAACCACATAAGCAGGGAAACAGAGCGGGTTTTAAATTAAATAGTGGGGGCAAGGACACCTATAACAGACCCAGTCTAGCATATAAGCCATCAGGGCTCAACCAGCTTGGTCAGTATCGTGATTGTGCTTCCAATCTACTCTTGGGGATGGATATTGAAATCCCTCACCAAGTATGCATTGTGTGCCTTTGCTCCAATCAATACTTCTTCCAAACAGTATTCAACATGCAGGAGTTCCAATCAATTAATGGGGGAGTGGGGTGCCATGGTTGTGAATATCAGCTGTCGGTTTCCTTGCCATTGTTTAACCTCATGTTGTGAAATATATGTGCAATCTAGCAGTAATGTTGAGGACTTCCAGATAACTCCTTCTTGACAGTTTGCCAGTGTGATGCAATCTCTGGTGGGTCTGTCTCGTGGAACTCCAGACACCAGATGGTACATTAACTTCCCTGTGATTTAAGATGAAGTTAATATCAGGGCACAATGATACATAATGTACCATTCGACTGCAAATCAATGGCAAAGGATTGCAAGGAGCAGGTAATTCAAAGCCCTGAATTATAAAAACAAACAGTAAGCAATAATAAAATTTTCTTTGACTAAAATTCTAATACGATTTAATCTATAAATAAAAATGACTTACATAGAAGTAGTCAATGGGTTCAAATATACGTCTGAAGAGCTGTCGCACCCATAATATCTTTCCAGCTACAGGAGGCATGTTTCTCGCAAGTGGTGGATTCTCTTTACAGGCCTGGTAATGCTGTACAAGACATTCAGAATTATAAAATGAACAAGACAACCACAAATTAGTATAAAGAATTATAGATAAAATAAGCAGTGTACTTTGTAACCTGTTGTGCCAAGTCTCAAAATGGACAAAGCCAAATTATGGTAAATGGTTCCTTTTAAGATGAGAAAAACTGAAGTAGAAAGAAAAAGCAAAACATAGAAAATATGAGCAGGAGTTGGCCATTCAGGTTGCTCCTCCATTCAACATCATGCCTGATGTTCTGTCTCAATGCTCTACCCTTACTCTCTTCCAATAGCCTTTGATAACTTTATGGTGAATATGTGAATATACATAATAGGAGCATTCAGCCACTTCAACTTGCTACGCCATTCATCTGAGATCATCTGTTTGTGTTACAAATACCACACTTCCATTTTCCCCCAATAACCTGTGAATTCCCTGCTTATCAAGAAACTATTGATCTTTGTCTTCAAAATATTCTATGATCCCACCTCCTCCATCTTCTGAGGCAGAGGATTCTGCAGCATCACTAGCCTCTAAAGAATTTTTTTCTTTTTTTTCTGAAAGGGAGACCCCTTAGTTCTGGACTGACTCACAAGATGAAACTTCCTGCGCACATCCACTTTGTGAAGACCATTCAGGACATTACACACTTCAATGAAGTCTCTCCTCATTCTTCTAAATTTCAGTGGAAATAGGCCCAGCCTGTCGAACCTATCCTCATAAGATAACTTGCTCATAACTGGTATCAATCAAATAAACCTGATAGAAGTTTGCAAAATTATGAGAAGCATGGATAGAATGGATAGTCACGAATATTCATCCCTGGGTTGAAATGTCAATTACTAGGGGACATAGGTTTATGGTAAGAGCGAGAAAGTTTAAAGGAGATGTGAGGGGCATTTTTTTCTTCACAGTAGGTGGTAAAGTGCCTGGAACATGCTGCCAGACGAGGTGGTAGAAACAGATACAATAGCAATGCTTAAGAGGCATCTTCACAATTACATGAATGGGCAGGGAATAGAGAGGTACAAGCCACATAGAGGCAAAAGGTTTTATTTGAGAAAGGTGTCATAGGTCGATGCAGGCTTGGTGGGCTGAAGGGGCTGTTCCTATCTTGTAGTATTCTTTGTCCTTTGTTCTAAACGTCCTTTGAATCTACAATGAGTATGCATTCTTTCTTAAATATGGAGACCAAAACTGCACACAATATTCAGGGTATGGGATGAAATTTGACCAAACCCAGAACAACATGGACAATAGTGAGTCAGTTAGGAAAATATGATGAGATTGGCAGAAATGAGATTCTTGATATCAAATAAAAGTTCAATCCTGCAATTAAGTTTTGGATAGCAAGATGAGAATTTCACTAGTGAGTGGCAATACGCTTATTTGCATGCATTAACATTCAACTAGTACCTCGTCTCACCTCATTTTCCTATTTTCCCAGGAGAGAAACTAGATGGCAAAAACTCCCACCATGGAAGTCAGAGTAAGTACCTTGCAACTCATAATCCCAGTTCGTTCCTCTGAGCCTCCATCTTGGACACCAACATTTCAGGGCAAACTGGATGGACTGTGACCAACTGCCGCATGTCTGTGGAGGCTGGCATTAGGCACACAGCAGCACAGCAGCCTCAACAGATCATGGCACATCTCTGACCCACTTACAATGTTCCATTTTAACACTGCATTTTGCAGTATATCTGCATCTTTCATTGTAATGATGCTGTTATGCCACTTTACCCACAGAAACAGGCACTAATCTCATGGATACTCCCATTCTTCAGAACTATCTCCATTGCTCTCTGAATTGATGACTTTTCAAATATATATCCAGCTCTCTTTTGAAACCTTCTATGGAATCCATCTCCACCACTCTCCGAGGTAGTGCATTCTAAATCTTTACAACTCACTGAGTAAAGGAGTTTATCCTCATCTTACTCCTATCTTTCTTGCTGACAATCTTGAAATTGTGGCCCGTAATTACTGACATACCAACAATACCAATGACATCGGATGAATGGACTCCACGCAACAATCGCCAGACAGGGATGTTCCTTCCCAGTGGGGGCACACTTCAGCGGTCAAGGACATTCAGCCTCGGATCTTTAGGGAAATGTCCTCCAAGGAGGACTTCAGGATACACAACAACGCAGAGTTACCAAACAGAAGCTGATAGCCAGGTTTGATACCCATGAGCACGGCCTCAACCGGGATCTTGGGTTCATGTTGCACTATAGGTGACCCCAACACACTATACGCTCTCACAGATAACACTCACACAAACAGACAGACAGACAGACACACACGTACAGATCCTCTCTCATACACACAGTCTCTCAAGCATACACGCACACACACCACACGCACACAAACTCTCTCTTTCTGCCCCTCACGCATGCACACACACACACACGCTCTCTCCCACATACACACACAAAATCTCTCTTTCTCCCCTTCACACACACACATACTCTCTCCCACACACACATTCTTTCTTTCTCTCTCTTACCCCCCACACACAGACACACACTCTTTCTTCCTAACACACACACACACTCTCTCTTTCTCTAACCACCCCATGCACGCACACGCACACACGCACACGTACATACTCACACACACAAACTCGCTCTTCCTCCCCCCCTCTCTCTCTCTCTCACACACACACACACACACACACACACTCTCCCACACACACACACACTCATACACTCTCCCACATGCACATATTCTTTCTTTCTCTCTCTTACCCCCCACACACAGACACACACTCTTTCTTCCTAACACACGCTTACACACACCCTCTTCCACACACACACACACACACACTCTACCACACACAAACACTCTATCTCTCTTCTTAACTCTACCTCCTTCACACACATATATACTCACTCTCTGTTTCCCTCTCTCTCACACACACTTGAATCTATGAGGTGAATTTGTATTTGCAGATATGTTCTATTTTGTTCAACAAGCACACAGTTTATAGATAGTCAGTCAGTGTGGTGTTTTATAATTTCCTACTTTGGAAATAAAACCAGTCTGACTCCAAACCAAAATTTAAACAGATTCTAAACAAGGCCTCACACCTAACATGCATTGTCTGACCTAAAATGTTACCTCTTCTTTACACTGATAAAACCTTTAGATCTCTCAGGACAGTGACTTGAAAGGAATTTGGGATTTACATATACATATTAATCAATTAAAACCTTCTAACTGATTAAAGATTTAACAGCATCTCAGGTTCATTCAATACATCCTGATCAGTGGTGTGACCCTTTGATCTTTAACATATAAATATGTGTCTGATACTACCCCTCTCACTAACACCTGAAGAAGAAGTTAGGCTGAGAAAGCTTGTGTTTTCAAATAAACCTGTTGGACTATAACCTGGTGTCAAGGGATTTCTGACCTTATCCACCACAGTCCAACACTGGCACCTCCACATCATGGATACCAACTACTAAAAACAGAATATCCTTCTTTACCCTGTGAAAATTGTTCATAATTTGGAAGACCTCATTCGGGTGACCTCTTAATCTTTGCAGATCGAAGGAAAATAAACCTAATTTTTCTAATCCTTCCTTGTATCTAAAATCCCTCATTCCTGGTATCATTCTATTAAATCTCCTTTGCAATCTCTTTAACATCCTTCCTTAAATAAAGTGCCGAGAACTGAAAATAATACTCAAAATGTGATTTGAATAATGATTTGTAGAAGTATAGCAACACTTAGAGTCACAGAGCCGTAAAGTATGGAAACAGACCCTTTGGTCCAACTTATCCATGCTGGCCAGATATCCTGAATTAATCTAGTCCCATCTGCCGCCATTTGGCCCATATCCCTCTAAACCCTTCCTATTCATGTACCCATTCAGATCCCTCTTAAATGTTGTAATTGTTCCAGCCTCCACCACTTCCTCTGGCAGCTCATTTCATACATGCATCACCCTCTGCGTGAAAAAGTTGCTCGCTGGGTCCCTTTTGAATCATTCCCCTTTCACCTTAAACAAATGCCATCTAGGTTTGGACTCCCCTATCCTGTGGAGAAGACCTTTGCTGTTCACCTTATCCATGCCCCTCCTCATAATTTTATAAAGTGACCCCTTAGCGCCCGATGCTCCAGTGAAAATAGCTCTAGCCTCTCTTTAACTCCAACCCTCCAACATCCTTGTAAATCGTTTCTGAACTCTATGCCTCCATTATATACCCAAGGGTCCTATAAGCCCTCTTAACAACTGTTTCATCTTGCCTGCCAATCTTCAGAGAATTATGCACTTAAACCCTGAGGTCCCTGTACTCCTGTACTCCTCTTAAAGTCGTATCATTGAACTTGTATTGTCTCTCCATGTTTTTCTATCAAAATGCATTACCTCACATTTCTCTGCATTGAAATTCATCTGCCAGGTGTCTGCCCATTTGGCCAACTTATCAATGTCTCCCTGACATTGATCAGTGTCATCCTCACAACTCACTGTTCTCCCTGGTTTAGTATCATCTGCAAATTTAGTGATTTTGCCCTCAACACCCATCTCCAAATATTTTGATAAATCAATAAAGCACTGATCCCTGGGGAGGACTATTTTCAACTTGTTCCAATCTGAGAAATGCCCATCTATACCACCCCTCTGTTTCCTGTCTTTTAGCCAATTTCTAATCCATGCTGGCAAGGACCCATCAATCCCAAAAATTTTGAATTTGCTAACCGACCTGCCATATGGCATCATATCAAATGCTTTCTGAAAGTTCAAATATGCAACATCCACAGCGCTACCCTCTTTCATTGCCTGTGTCACCTCACAATTAAATTTGTCAGACATGATCTGCCCTTGAAAAGCCATGCTGACTGTCTAGTATTAACTAGCTTTTCTCTAGGGGTATACTTATCATGTCTTGTATCATAGCCTCCATCTGTTTTTCCAGTATTGATGTCAGGCTGACAGGTCTGCAGTTTCCTGGGTTATCCTCTGCCTCTTTCTTAAACAATGGTGACACAT